TTCACTGTCCATACCGTTTAGGTCATTTATGGATTTTTGCCATTTCTGTTTAATCTGATTCTACCACTTTCTTTTTTGCTTTCTCACAGATATCCTATCTTGGAAACTATACAAAAGTATCTTTGGCCTCGCCTTTGTAAACTCGATCAACAGACACTGTGAGTTACAAAAAAAAAAACATTTGCTTCAAAGTGTGAATAATATTTGGTTTTGCAAATCGATGTGAATTGCATTTGCATATCATGCATAAATAAGTTCCACAAGTAATAATTACCAATATTATCACATTTTCACAGGTATGAGCTACATTATCAGATGATTACATTTGGAAAGGTACTTAATGAGCATCTGTCTTTTGAAACTAGCTGAATAGGTTGTGCATTTGTACAACCAAATATGACTTTATAGTTGTATTTATTATATAACTATAATGCCTCTAATTTAAAATAAAATTGTGCTTACTATAAGACTATAGCTCCTACGATTAATATATACTTATATTTGTTATAGAACTTTAAGGTCTTAATCTACAAGAGTTGTAGATTATTTCTATTTTGTTCTTTTTGTCCCAGCTCAGACTTGAATGCTGAATACCAAAATAAGAGGTGCCTTGAGTCCCACTTGTTGCTTTTATATGTTTTCCGATCAACCGTGCAGGTCTTTTGTACCAAAAGCAAGCCAAATTGCAATGCATGCCCAATGAGGAGTGAGTGCAAGCATTTTGCAAGTGCTTTTGCAAGGTACTGTTACACTTTCTGTACACCTTCAACCATACTGCCACAGTAGCTTATACTCATAGAAAAGAGCTTTGTGGGGGGCAATTGCTGAACTTAAAGACCCACAACTGGCCTGCATAGTTAACTTTCACAGTGTGCACACAAAAACATTGTGATGGGTGCCCCACTTCCATTGGCTGAGAGATACTGGAATTACCTCCACTAAAACAATATGACAGTATATCCTACTGGCTCAGGGTGAAAAGAGCACTGTGCCCTCACCCCTCAGGGTCAATTTGATTTCATGTGACACTTGGAGTTGTGAATCTATAGGTCCTTATGCACAGACTACACAATTGGATCAATTTTGTATGCATCTCAAGCATATTAGCTACTTCAGTTGATCTTGCTCAGGAGTTTTACTTCTGTTTACCTGAATATTGACTATTTCTTGTTTTCTTTTATTGCATTTGGAATGAAGTGCAAGGCTTGCACTTCCTGCTCCTCAGGAGAAAAGCTTAGTGAAGTCGAGCAATCAATTTGCTTTCCAGAATAGCAGCATGCACACTATGAATTCGACTCACCTGCCTCGCCTTGAGGGGAGTATCCATTCAAGGGAGTTTCTTCCTAAGAACTTAGAGCCAATAATCGAGGAGCCTGCAAGTCCAAGAGAGGAAGGACCTCCAGAAACCATGGAAAATGATATTGAAGATTTTTATGAAGATGGTGAAATCCCAACAATAAAGCTTAACATGGGAGTGTTTGCACAGAACTTGGAGAATTGCATTAAAGAAAGCAATAACGAACTCCAGTCTGATGATATTGCAAAAGCATTGGTTGCTATTAGCACTGAAGCAGCTTCGATTCCTGTACCGAAACTAAAGAATGTGCATAGGCTTCGAACAGAACACTATGTGTAAGTGGTGAATTAGTTTTGTTTGGGCAAATATCAGGTGAAAACGCATGAAAAATCAGAGTTAAAGTATTCCAGGAAAATCTCTAAAATATAGCACCTTTTTTACGAAGAACTGTGGGGGAGACTATCACATTTGCCATAGAAGTTCAACTTTGAAACTCTTAGACATTGTTTACACATGATTTATCATATGTAGTGAAAAGGCAAAGACTAAATATTTGTGTCTTCTGCACCTCTCAAATGCGATCAAGTAAACTTGACATTTTCTAAAGGATATAGAGCATTCCTTTCACTGCATCTGATAATTTTTTAAGCTTTCACCCTTAGTTTTTTACCAATATGGCCTTTTCACTAGTTATAGTGCTCTTTTGCTCAGCTTTAACATGCACCGCTTTAGACTTAATATTGTTATTGTCCGTGGTAAATAATGCCCATGCATCTGGAAGATTTATTCTTTACCTGCAATTTATGTGCTTGCAGGTATGAGCTTCCAGATGCACATCCACTTTTACAACAGGTGAGATGCTGCGGTTTATTTTTTAAGCATTTCAAACTATAGTTCCTGATCCAGCAATTGATTAACAGCTAGGACTTGACCAACGGGAACCTGATGATCCTACCCCGTACTTATTGGCCATATGGACACCAGGCAAGCTTATTTCTCTTTGAGTGCATGGGGTACACACTTAAGTTCATTTTCACTAATTTATGACTACTTTGCAGAAGGAATAAAGGAGATAACCAAGACACCAAAACCATGCTGTGACCCTCAAATGGGAGGCGATTTATGCAATAATGAAATGTGCCACAATTGTACTGCAGAGAAAGAAAATCAATCTAGATATGTTAGAGGCACAATTCTGGTAACGGAATCCTATAACCTAGCAATAACTGATCTGAATATGGTTTAGCTGAAGTAACTGTTTATTTTTTTCCTATAGTTGCTCTGTAGCACAACAAAGATCATGGGAGTCGTGAAACAAAATTGATATTGTGCACATGTGGCCCCAAGCTCATCCTTTAATTGTACCTAGCAAATTGTCCCTTTTTGTTGTATATATACCTACAGTTTGGTTTAGACCTCAGAGTATGATCTATTAATTCATAGTATTCACTTCCAAGAAGAAGAGCAACATATATTTTGACCTGTTGAGCTAAACATGCATTTTTTGGCTAGACAATATGGACAGATCATAGTATAGATAATGCCTATTGGTTACAGAAATTCCATGCATGTTTCAACTAATGATAAATTACTGGAACATGAATAGGTTCCTTGTCGAACAGCTATGAGGGGTAGTTTCCCACTTAATGGCACTTACTTTCAAGTCAATGAGGTAAACAGAGTGACATCTAATGTCTTACTCCTAGTACTGCTCCTAAGCCTCCTGTCTCAATGGACACACTTTTTGTGACACTGTATCTGTCCATACAGGTATTTGCTGACCACAGATCTAGCCACAACCCAATCCATGTGGAAAGGCAGCAGCTATGGAACTTGCAAAGGCGCATGGTCTTCTTCGGGACTTCAGTGCCCACCATATTCAAAGGTTGTCTCCCTTGCATAAATAGTTCATTGAAATTATATTTGTATTATATTTGTATTGGTACCAACTACAGTTGTTTTGGTTATGTAGGTCTAACAACAGAAGAAATACAACAATGCTTCTGGAGGGGTATGAAAAAATAATTTCCTTAGTTCTGTCATGACATTCTATTCCAAGGAAGCATCTTGCCAATTGTCATCAGACAGTTCTGCAGAATGCAGATCCTCTGATAGACCAGTATTCTGGGCCATAGTATATTCAATCTCAGTTTACAGTGTTTCACTAGTTATACAAGATTCTCATGATTGTCACATGGTGACTATTCAGTGATGAAGAAAATCGTTCATAGTCGCTACATGATTGATCTGTAGTCATCTAAGTTTTTAAGATAACCTGAGAATAGTAGAGGCATCTTGTAATAGTGGAATGATAATGCTAGAGAACAAAAACTGCCAATATGAATGCAGAGACAAAGGAATTGATGTGCATGCTTATTCATAAACTTACATTTCATACACACAAAGGTCATGAACGGAAACAGTTTCTAGGCTTCAACTCCACAATGAATTTCTGAACGAAACAAGTAAAGTGTGGCTGTCTTATGCAGGATTTGTCTGTGTGCGAGGATTCGACATGGAGACTAGGGCACCAAGGCCTCTGTGCCCTCATTTGCATGTTGTAGCAAGGCCGAAAGCCCGCAAGACAGCAGCAACTGAGCAAGTACTCTAATCAACAAAGATATCAGTTTTATGAACATCGTGTTTATTGTGATATGATATCAATAGCTCTCGACCTGTGCATGGAATCATATTAGTTCCTACCGGACGATAGCCATTTTTTAGGAAACATAAACCATGGATGGAGTGCGAGACTGTTAGTTCTGAGACGTTAGGACTAATGAAGCATAAGGAAGAACCAATAGTTTTCACTTCTCTGTTTCAGAGTTACTATATGTAAATTATCATCTAGCTATTAATCCGTGTAATGTGTCATTGCAATCCTTTCTGAGACAAACTACCTTATCAACATTTCATTTGGTTAACATTTGTTCTGAGTGCTGGACAGCCTGCCAGAACTTTGTTTACATACCTGTATATTCCTGTTATCTGTACAATGGTTTAGTGACTTTTGGTGCAATCATTTTGAAGATCACCCAGAGTGTTAGGAGGGTTATGATGGTAATGATGATGATACCAAACATGCCTAATTTAGTAGTGTTATAATGAGCAGGAAAACAAAGATAGCTTATGAAGCAAGAGAGCCTTTGCCATCACGGAAAACTCACGTTTGCCACCTAAAATATAGGGATATATGACATAAAGAAAAAGAACAGATCAGAACCCTTAAATACCATGAAAAGAGCAATACCTAACATGATGGATGCGTACAACCAAAGAAAAAAGGATTCAGGAGATTGCAGACTTCAGGGCAGTGTCTTTGCCTGTTTCTTGCATATTTCTCTCTGCAAATGCTTGTTCATAGGATGTTTCCGTTGAAAAATTAGCTTTATTGCCATCCTAGTACCTTATCATAACTTACATCGGACAGACGGAATAATATTTCAAACACCAATCCTGCTTACAAACAGAACTTGTTCTTAGTTTACCACACTACATGGTTCACTACCAAACCTAAGGCAAAATCGATGCAACAAATGGCATCTAACACCAACACAGATGTGAGATTCGAAGCATGAACAGGTACAATTGAACTTTTTTATAGTTTTTTCAAAGCATGAACAGATACATTTGAACTTTCTGAGAGTTCCCCTAACCATGACCATACTGGAAGTGTGTAGTTGTGTCTCCAGAAGGCATCACCCTAATAGTTGCCAGGCCGTGGAACTTCTCGGAGGAAGGAACCATCCCCTATTCTGAAATCTGACACAGGGACGCTACGCCCACCAGCAGCGGGCATGGATAGCAACATGGAACTTGGAGGATCATAGTATGGATCCAGTGACAACCCAGAACCATAGTGAGAAAATGACAGAGCTGGCATAATATGATCAGCATGGTAGCTTGAGCATACGTAGGGTGGACTCACCGAGGTCAAACTGAACCTTGAACCATATCCGTCCCTTGAGGCCATCTCATTTCTGGGAAACGAATCTGTTGGCAAACGAAACAAACCAGCAGGACCTATTGGTACTTTCACATCATCATGTGGTAAGACCCTGTTAAGGTAGTCCACTGGCGTTGGTAGTGCCAATATTTCCTGACTGAGAGGGGTTGACCTGCTGAGTGAAAGTTCCATGCTGTTGACTGGCAAATCATCCGGTGCTTGAAGTGCCAATATGTTCTGGCTGGGAGGACTTGGCCAGCTCAGCTTTGCTCTGAGAGACATCTTGGCACGTTGAAGGGCCTCTAGCACCCCTCCTACATCTTTGTTTGAGGATTGATGAAGTTGTGTATCAAGCTGGTTATCGGTATGGTTATGAAAGCATGAGGAGCTCCATTCTGAGACTTCGCTTTTAGGGGTATCACTTAGTGGGCTCCCAACTGATGATGTGTTTATGTATCGCTCAGAAGATCGAGCATTTACATGGTAGCTTGAACCACTGTCTGAATTTTCATCTCCTTGACCCTTTCTATGTCCTGCATTTAGTCTGCTATCACAGCTTCCTTGTGGTGGCAGAGCTGATTTCCCAAGATTATTGCCACTTCCTTCAGGATAACTTTTAGTTGTCAGCACATCCTTCCTAACCTGCAGTTCACCGTGGCTTGAAATTACTGCTGCAGCAGTGACTACACAATCATGACCAAACTCATCAAATTTGCACTGTTCAATAACACTATCTTTGGCTACATTTTGGGGCAATTCTGAAACAGGGCCGTTTGGTAGACATTCAGAGGGGTTGCTGATGCAATGGAGATTATTGTCACTTGATCTTGCCTGTTCACAAACCACTTCCTTATCTACAACCCGAGCAGTTTCCCTCCTCCCACAAGTATTTTCAGCCTGATTTAGCTTATTGTTCGAGTTAACATTATCCTGGAAGTTGGAGAGCAGAAATGAGTGCACAATACGAAAATATTAGCTCATTTTGTTTTTTATTTATCCAGTTAAATGCAAGAACTACGTACTAAATAAAAATTGTTTCATATCTGAAAAGGAAAAGTGTGTACCGTAGCTGAATCCCGGTTCTTGCTGAATTTCTCCTCCCACTCCCTCTGAGCATTTTCTTCAGCCTCGAACTGTCCAATTAGCTCAGCCTGCTTCTCGAGTACCCTCTCCATCTCCCCATCCTTCTCATATACCATGGCACGATCATCACGATCCTCCACTCCTCCATTACTAGAAGACCCACGCCAATCCTGGCTCACCTCGCCATCAAAATCAGCCGGCTCATCGGTGCAAACAGTACAATCTGATCTCTCCTGCCCGTCCTCCGTGCTCCCCACTGCATTGTCGTTGCCCTCCCCGCCTCCTGTCTGAGATCTGTCAATCAGAACAACATGTGTGTGAGTGTGTCAGATAACTTGTGCACAACAACATGCCAGCAATTGGCATGGAATTGGAGCAATGCGCAACCGCCTGGACCTCATCAGCTCCTTCCTCTTGATCTTCCGGCATGACTGCCCCGGGTGGTACTTTGGCGACGAATCCGCGGCGCGCGAGTAAAAGTAGCCCCTCCTGTGACCGTGGCCGTGCCTCTGCCTTGGCTGCCTGCCCTTGTGCTGCTGGTGCTGCGGCCGCCGCCTCTCGCATTCGGGGCTCGCGGCGCGGCCTCTCCATGACAAGCCCCCGGCCTGAGCAGCAGCAGCCGCCGCCGGCGGCGGCGCCGGGGCTCCCAGCTCCGACCCCGACAGCGCGTCCTCCGCCGCATTCCCGCCGCCTCCGTCCCTCGCGGCGGCACCGGGGTCGCGGTCGCCCGTGCCGGCCTCGTCCTCTGAGCCCGAATCGTCCGCAGCGTCGGAGAGGCGGCCGAAGCCCTGGGAGTCGAGGATGGCGAGCACCTCCGCGGCCGCCCGCTCCGCCTTGCGCCGCTGCGCCGTCACCGTCCGGAGCTGCTCCTCCAGCTCCACCACCTGCAGAGCAGCAGCGACGGGCTCGGTGACTAAGCCGGGAATGCGAGGAGGAGGCAGGAAGCCAACGAAATGCGCGCGCACTTACACGCTTGGCAAGGTGGTCGGCCCGCTCCTTGGCGGCGCGGGAGACGGAGCGCTCGGAGAGGAGGCGCGCGCGGAGGAAGTCGATGGTCATGGCCGTCGTCGCGTCCGCTGCCATCCCCATTGCCGAATCCGAACCCGCGTGTGGAGTGTAGCGGTCTCCGAAGCCGCGCGCCCGCGCCGCGCGTCCTCAGTGCTCACCGCGGCATCCCTCTCTGATTTCTTCTCATCTCAGGTCGCGGTGAGCACTGAGGACTGAGGACGCGGTGAGCACTGAGGACTGAGGACGCGCGACCGACCGAAAGCCTACGCTTTGGCTTTTGCCAACCGCCGCCCGCGTGCCGCGTCCCGTGCGCAACGCTTGCCTGTGTGGCTGTGGCCTGTGGCCTGTGGGGTGCCCTCGCGATCACGTAGCGACCGACCGAAAGCCTACGCTTTGGCTTTTGCCAACCGCCGCCCGCGTGCCGCGTCCCGTGCGCAACGCTTGCCTGTGTGGCTGTGGCCTGTGGCCTGTGGGGTGCCCTCGCGATCACGTACTCACGTGCTGCCATGAATCCGTGATGACTGTGGTGCTTCGAGTGATCGAGTCCTTGGCCGGTTGCCCGGTTGGACCCTTGTGCTTTACGCCACTCCCGTCCCGTGTGTGTGAGGGTGACCGACCCGTCCCCGCTATCTGTGTGTGTGACAACCAGTGGCGGCACTGCAGGCCGTGCCCATCGGGCGCGCGAGGCGTGGCTCGACGTAACGTGTCCGTCCGAAGGCCGCTTTCCGAGCCTGCACGCTAACAGTCTGACGAGGCAGGCCTCGTCTTTACGTCTCACCGATCTCTCTCAAAAATATCTTACACTTACGGGTTTGCCCATCTTATGCTGCTATGGCATGGGCTCATTGTTGCCATCTTTTCTGTCACGCACTCCCTCCCGCGCCGCGCCCCGTCTATCGCCGCGCCACGCTCCATACCCCGCCGTGCGCCGCTCCAGCTTGTTGCGCATGCGCCCCGTCGCTGCGCGCCGTGCCCCGTCCCCACCGCACGCGCCAAGGTGCTGCTAGGGTGCTGTCAAGGTGTTGCCGACGTCGTCGTTCCCCACCAGAAGGTCGTGACTGCTGTCGACGTCGTGGTTGCCGCAACGCGCGACCTCTGCAATGAGATGTTGCGATAAAAGCGCATGTTGCAAGCGTATGTTTCAAGTATTTTAGACATTTCAGAGGTATGTTGTAATTGTTTCATATGGGTATTACAAAAGTAGATCATGGATGTTGCACATGTTGTATATGTTGCAAGTGTTTCAGGCATGTTGCGAGTGTTTGAGAGGTTTGTTCAAAATGTTTCATCTACTCCATATGTATGTTGCAAGCATTATGATCTGGATGTTGCATATGTTTCACACATATGTTGCAACAATATGTTTCAAATATTTTAGTTGTTTCAGTCTTATGTTGCAATAAGTGTTTTCAAGTTGTAAGTATTTTATCTGAATGTTGCATATGTTTCACGCATATGTTGCAAATGTATGTTCAAGATGTTTTATTTGTTTCATACATATGTTACATTCAAGTGTTTCATGTTGCATGTTTTTCATGTTGTTCGGAGGGTCAGGGGACGCGGGGAGTGATGGTGGCATGACACAGATACCAAGGAATGGGGCACAACGAGCTGGGGCTAGCGGACAGGGCGTGCTCGGGGCCGGCGGTCGAGGCACGACGAGGGCAGGGGTGCGTGTGTGGGGCGGGTCGAACAACCTCGAGGCAGACAGGCTACGCGTGCGAGGCGAGTCGTCAGAATGCACGAGCGCTGTGGCAAGGCGGGGTGCGCGTGCTGGGCTAGAATGAATCAGCGGACGGAGCAGGTGAAAGGTCCTAATGGCTAGAGGGAGTGAATAGCCTATAAAAATTCTACAATAACACTAAGCCAAGTGGTTAGATAAAATTAAGGCGAAACAAATGTTGCACTAGTGTAACACCCTAAACAAACCACTAAACCATGTCATGAGCATCATATTTATGTGATAAAGTGTGTAGATCAATTTCTTATAATCTAAAATGACTAATAAAAATATTAAATGAAAGTTGATTTAATAGCTCATGTATATTGAGTAAGGTTGAAAACCAATTTTTATTGAACAAAAATATTATAGAACATGTATGTGACCCTAAATAAAGTTGAAGTATAAACTTTGTAGAGGACAATGCAACTCTTGTCTTAGAAAAATAATATTGCTAGTTAATATTTCTAATAGCTTAGAAATGGAACTTGAAATCAAATTCAGCCCAAGACAGCAAGTTCTTAAGTCTGAAAACAGTGTGACAATGCAATGTTGGTGAATTAATTCTGAAAAATCTAGCTAAAGGTCAATGCTGTGTTTTTGCTCCTTATGGTAGACTGATGTACCCTTTTTAGCATGGTCGAGATAGTTTAGCTTCAACTGTGTTAGGTTAGTTTTTAGATGTGCTTTTAAAGTCGTGCACGTCATATGCCTGGCCTATGCGCACGGTCACCTTGCGCGGCCGCTCGGCGTTGTGCAGTTGGCCGCGTCCCACGCACCGCGGTGTCGAGCCCGGTCGGCCTGTTTGGTCGTGGGTTGGCCATGGCCGGCCCCAGCGGGCCGTTGTCATCGTCCTGCAGCTGTTGGCCATCGTGTTGCTGCCCCACCTCGCTGCCGCGCTGCTGCCACCACTGCCGCCCTTCCCGCCTCGCGTTGTGGTGTTGCTGATGTCCTTCTCGCCATCACACGCGTGGGCTTGTCCCTGCTGCCAGCACCGTCGCCTCGCCGTCGCGTTCGCGCTCTCTGCAATTATGTGCCTCTACCTGCCCCTGCCCGATGACACTGCCACAGCCACGCGTGCACATGGCACGCTCGCTGCACCGGCACATGGCCATGTCCACAGCCGCGGTATCCCCACGTGCACCTTAGCTCCGCCGCGACAGCCGTACTCCCAACCGTCATCGTCTTTAAGCATGTCGCGCCGATGCGCAAGTTGACCCCCCCCCCTCCCTCCCCTTTCTTGTCGTTTCCACCCGACGCGACGTCGTTCAATAAATCCAGCAGGGAGAGGTCACCATCGCCCGATTCATCGTGCCCCTAGCTCCGCCATTAACCCCTTAGCCATCTGACCCCATCCAGCCTTGAAGCGAGCACGGTCAAGCTACAATTTGGAGTTTTTCCCCGCCACCGTGCCGATAAGGCCGAGCTCGGCCATTGCCGTGGACAGCCCTCCATCTATCCACCCTAACCCAATCCAAGTGAATCGCTAGCTTCGCTTCCACCTCTACGTCACCCTACGCTCCTTAGTCGTACCTCTACCGCTACCCTAGCGCTGCTGACGCGGTCGTGTCCACCGCGGTACGCCACCGTGCCGCTCGGTCGCACGTGTCCAGCCTCGTTCGGGCAGTCCCTGGCCATACCATCACCTCGCCCAGGTCCACGGTGAGCCCCTACTACTTGCACACTAGCTGGTTAAGCCGGTAGCTGTCCTAGCTCACCGAAACACCACTGACATCACCATAGTTTGTCCGCCGACGTGGAGGAGCCACCGTAGTTCGTCTCTGGTCTCCTAATCACTACCCATCGTTGCACGTTGGCCTATAGGTGAGCACGGCTTTTTAGATGCGCCGTAGGGGTCCCCAGTTGGCCGACGTTGCTGTTTAGTGCCGGTCCATGCCGCGCCGGCGAGCGCGGGGACATCGGGGACCATTCCGTTGCGAAGATGGGTTAATGCGAGGGCTTCCTTGCATATGCTTTGTTTGTAGGAATAGTGCGCAAAGCGGTCGCGTTAATATCGGATAGCGCGGGGACATTTCTGCAAAAGCGCCATCGTGCGTGGGTTCCCCGTCGTGAGCCGCCTCGCGCGTGGGCCGCGCCCGCACGGGCCGCGCGTTTGTGGGCCGCGCGGTCGAATTCGTTTTTCTTTTTCTTAAGGAATTAGTAATAGCTTTCTATTTTAATTTCTAAGCTAGATTTGTATAATTGATATAAATTCGTGTAGGTGTCCAAAAATTGCGAAACAAATTTTGTTAGGTTCCTAAAATTGTGATATATCTGGTAGTATAGATAGATCATGCATATCTGTGTTGATACTAAGGGCTATTAAATCGTTTGAAAGTGCTTAATATTATTAGGGTAATTATTGTAGGAATTTTTGTAGTAAATTGGTAATAGCTTTGATCCTGAAATTTTAAAGTGGCTTCATTGTATTATTATATGCTTACTATAATTTTTGTAGCCCTAATATAGCTTGTTTATTAGGGTAGCTACATATCTATTAAACCTTTAATATGAATAAGAGCATAACACTGATTTAGGAAATTAAGCATTTGTTAGGGTGAACTTGACACTTGATTTGATAGAGTTGATAGTTATCTTAGTATCTTAGTCATTAGAGCTAGCTTAGTAGCTTAACATGTGTATTCTTATTTTAAGAGTTACTGTTGTCTAAATGCTAAGTTGTTGCATCATCATCGCATGCATATAGAGAACGAGTCGGCGGACATCGTGACCACCGGCGATCACGAGTTCAAGGAGATCATCAAGGAGTACGAGGAGGAGATTCTAGTGTAGGAGGAGGTCCCAGAGCCACCACTGACTGATGTAGTTGACACCACGCCTGCCTAAGGCAAGCCTCGGTGCATAACCCCTTATTTTTTATAATCACTGTATATATATGTTATGTGCATTTACGTTACAGGAATCTTATGAAAACCACCTGCATAGATATAACTGTCCTATGAGTCCTACAAGTACAAGTTCGAGTAGCTATTATGCTTAGGTTTTCGGTAGCGTGAGTAGCCTGCCGTTACTCACAATAGGTGATTATTATAATTACTCTCATGATAAAAATGATGAAAGGAAAATGAAGACCGGGCAGGGATGTAGTATGGGTATTGGTGGGTGTAACAGGTTACGTCCCGCGACCAACGGGGCTTAGCTTGGTTACACTATTTTTCTTGTCCGTATCAATTGAGGACCGTCTGTTGTTGTGGATGGTAGTCAGGTCACAGACTTTTTATCCTGAGCACATACTTACTTATGGAAGAGGGAAGACTCTTTATGCTCTTGTCATGGGTTCTGGCTCTTTTCGGACCGACTGATTGGAGGCGGGGAAAGGTGGAGGTCTAAGCACTATATT